CCCCTTCAAAGAAGAGACAACCCTTCAAACACCTAAGGGCAATCAGTACTGGTTGCCGTCTCGCCTCTGGCGCCCGATGGGCTTATGAGGCCTCAAGATGGCCCGATGATGGCACACGAGGGGCTCAGCAAGTCTCCAAAACGGAGACCAGAGCGCCCAAGATCGGCCCGAGAGCGCCCTAGGAGGCGATTTGATGGCCCCAGAGGGGGAGAGGCACATCGAAGGCTCCCCCTCCTTGGATCGACGCCCTACAAGATGCTCCCCCTAAGAGGCCTTTCAGGGCCCCCAAGAGAGTCCAAAGAGGGCCCCCAAGAGGGCCCCAAGAAACCTTGACAGAGCCATATGAGGACACCAGAGCCTGTCAAAAGAGCCCCAACATGCCCCAAGCGGAACCAAAACAAACCCCGAGAAGACCCCAGGAATGCCCCAAGAAGACCCCAAGACGGCTTAACGAATTATTGTCCTCGTTGTCCTCCGCCTGCCTCCGATACTCCCAAAAGACATTCCAAATGGCTCAACACGCTCCTCCCTCTCCTCTCCTTGCCCGCTTCGTTTCACTTAGTGTTTGTCTTCCTTCCGTTTCCCGTCAACTCTCATGGGCAACGTTTCGGAATGGGGTGGCGGGGATACTTTTTTGGGTCGCGGCCACGAGACAAGAGTCAGGCGGCGAAAGCAAAGTCCGGGGCACGAACGGAACTGGCGGGGATACGCGAAGAGTAAATAATTGTACACAACACTCCCTACGCCGCATAGCTCACACAAAACAGCTATCGTCACATAGCTCACACCACGCAGCTCGTACAACATAGCTTACGTAACAACACATCCATAACGTGATTTACACCGCATAGTGTACACCGCATAGCTTACACATCCACAGTGGACAAACAACGCCTAATTGTCTGGCGCCCACGGGGATATCTGAGCAAAGAACACCTGACGGGAGTTTGAGACATCGTGGGTTTCCTCTGGCTTTGATGAGAAACTCCTCCTTCTCCTCCTCCTCTCCCTCCTGGGTCGGACAGAAGCAGGGGTTAGTAAAGGAGCCGAATGTCAGGCGCCTCCAGGCGCCTTGGTGTCGGGGATAAGTGCCCGGCGGCGTGGCCACAACCAGCGGCACGCAACAGATCTCGTACCCACCCCGTGTCGGGGACGTCCAGGAGTGGGGGGGGGGGGGGAAGCGCAAATTATGGCCAGCGGCACGTGCGCGGCCCGGAGGGCGGGGGGCCAGGGACGTAAGGAAGCAAGAGGAGGCGCCATGAAATCTGAGGAGGCCCACGCCATGATATCCCGCATGACCTAGTCATCACCCCCCTCTTGGCCGCCCCCGAACATTCCCAATCCCACGGGTCCGAGGCACTGATTTTTCTAGCACGGGGTCACTGGAAATCCCGACCCCTTCCCTGCAAGGCCGGCTTTTCACCCCAAACCTTTCTCGTTTGTTACGGTCCTGAGGCCCGGCGAGGCCCCACCGGAAGCCGACAACGGAGGAACAGATCTGTCGTTATCTGTTCTGCGAGGCGGGGGTGTGTCCAGATCCACCGCCTGGGGAACCGACGTGCTGGGACCCCAGCGGGCGGTGGAAACGGATGTATTTTGGCCCCCGGGGTGCCGAAGATATCCGTATCCACCACGTGCCGAGGTGCCCAAATATCGATTGGTTATGTCTATTCCCGCCTCGAATGTTGAAATACTCAGACCATCCACGGCCAGACATGTTCTGCAAGGGATTCTGGTTGAAGGTTTGAGGACGTCGACGGCTCGCGCATTACTCCCGTTGCCTCCTGGAGTCTCCAGGGGCTCCTGGAGCGCCTCCTTCTCCTCCTGCCCCGGCCCCTTGCTTGGGCCTCCTGCCTCCTCTTGGGGCCTCCTGCTGCAACCTGGAGCCTCCTGGGGCCTCCTGGAGCCGGGCCTCTGGGGACCTCCTGGGGCCCAGGGTACTCCTGGGACCTCCGAGGGCCTGTCGTGGCCTGCTGGGGAGCTCCTGGGTCCCCCGACGACTTTCTGGTGCCTTCGGAGCCTCCTGGTGCCTCCTGGGGCCTCCTTAAGCTTCCTGTAGCTTCCTGAAGGTTCCTGTGGACTCCCGAAATCCTGAAGCCTCCTTTGGTTCCTGTGGCCTTCGGAAGTTTTTCCGAAGGCTCCTGCTCGAGACTTCCTCGCGATTCGCTCACTGACAAGGTTCCCGCTCGAGACTTTCGCCATATTCAAGCCTGGGGAGCGAAAGAATGAACCAAATGCACAATTCGGATGACACCGCTGGGATACCAACATGGAGGTGGAGACCCTATAGGGAGGGCAGCTTCAGGCTGGAGGAGTCCGATTACTAACATGAGCTGCGGGCCCCAGAGGGAGGGGGGGCCCCGCTTGAGACGTCCTCACGATTTGCCCCTTCTGGGGTGCTCAAATGATATGCCTGGAAAAAAAGCCGCTGACCCGCTCGGATCACCAACGGGGAATCCTGGCCCCAGAAATCGGGGGCTGCCGCCTCAGACTTCTCTGCAAGTCACTCACAGACGAGGCCCCCGCTTGAGATATCCTCACGATTTGCCCCCTTTGGATGCTCAAGTGTTTTGCCTGGGAAAGCTTGCTGATGATCCGCTCGGATATTACCAACATGAAGCGCGTGCCCCATATGGAGGGGGTTCCCACCTCTGACTCACTGACTTCCTTGACAATCACTTACAGACGACCTCCCCGCTTGATACATCTTCGCGATTTGCCCCCTTGGGGCACTCAAGTGATATGCCTGGTGACGTTTGCCGGTGACCCGCTGGTGTTGCCAACATGACATGCGGGCCCCACAGGGCGGGGGCTGCCGCCTCAGACTTCCTTTCAAGTCACCCATAGGCGAGGCCCCCGCTCACGATTTGCCCCGTTGGCGTGCCCAAGTGCTATGCCGAGTAAACATTTGCCCATGACCCGCCCGTATTACCGATGTGAAATGCGGGCCCGATAGGGAACGGCCTCCCGCCTGAGACTTCCTCGCAATTCACTCACAAACGAAGCCCCCGTTTAATACATCTTCGCGATTTGCCCCGTTGGGGTGCACAAGTGCGATGCCTCGTAAAGATTGCTGACGACACCTGCTCGGATTACCAGCGTGAAGTGCGGGCCGCATAGCGAGGGGGCTCCCACCTGACACTCAAGTGTGAGTGAGCGCATGTGAATGCGTGAATATGTGCGTTTGTGCGAGATGATGATTCTGATGATGATGATGCTGCTGATGATGCTGCTGCTGATGATGATGCTGATGATGATGTTGTTGCTGATGGTGGTGATGATGACTGTGATTATGATGATGCTGAGTCGGATGGCGATGATGATGCGTGGCTGTGTGAGTATGTGAACCAGGAAGAGAGAAGGGATGATGAGGGGGAGGAGGAGGAGATTGTGTGCGGGGGGTGCGCAATGAAAACAAGAACCCCACTTTGCTTGTTGGGAAAAACAAACAGGGAGACACCCAAATTTGGTGATTTCCCCGCGCGCGGCCCTCCCCCTCGCCGCGCAAAACCGACGCAATCACGAAACTAGGGCGAAACGGTCGGAAAACCTGGCCCGCGAGGCCCCGGCGGCCCCAGGCCGCAGCGCGCACATGGCTCCTGGGGTCCACTAAGTGGCAGCCCTCCTTTCTGGCAGTTCCAAACCCCGCCCGAAGCTCCCAAGGAGGCCCCCCGAACGGTGCAGAAATTCTTCGAGGGCCTCGCGACGGTCCTATAGGGGGTTCCCAGGCTGCCCAGAGAGTTTCCTGCAGTGCACCCAGGGCTCGAGAAGCCGCCAGAGTGCCCACGCAGGATATATCCAAGAGGGCCACATCAGTCAAAGACCAAAGAGCATTCCCCCCCCGTTGGGTCTCCTGTTCTTTTCTGGAGCTGCCCTGCGTTACGAAAGCGTGGCTCTAAGATGCCCCAGGGGCCCCACATTGACCACGAAGAAGGTCCAAGACCATTGACCAAAAAGATGGGCCAGGACTGCCGTGAATACCATTCCTCAATACGACTTCCGGCCGAGGCGTGCGCTTCCAAACTAAGGACCCGTTCATCCGGACACGGCCCGTCTGACGCGCGCATATCCCTGGTCCCATGGTGCGTTGAAGGAGAGCACGGGCGAAGCGCACCCCCACCTCCAGGACGGCAGTCCGACCTATCACTTGGACTCCTGTCTGTGGGAAGTGACTTTCGACACTGGCGGCAAACGCGGAGCAAAAAGGCCCAACAGAGCCCAAGACAAGGCCGCCCCGACTTAGTCGGTGATTTCTCTGGGGGGGCACCAGCAGGGCGTGGGCGTGGAAATCACGGAGTTAGGATTCAGATTCCCCTGTATCGTTTTGTTGTTGTTGTCGTTGTTCCCGAATTCCTGCCGTTGTTGCAGTCGTGGATTACGCGATGGTCTCGGTCGTCGGGGTCAATTTCGGATGCAAAAAAGGTTGGACGCCTCTTGTCCGCGATGTGTTGCCTTGCCTCCTCCGCCAGCGAGCGCGTCGCCGTCGCCGTCGTCGTCGTCCGCTGTCGGGGTGTGTGTCGTCGTCGGCAGATCGGTCGGTCCGTCGTCTCCTCCCCCCCTCCTGATCATGCTCCTCCTCCCCCTTCCTCCTCCTCCTCCTCCTCCTCCTCCTCCTCCTCATCCTCCTCCTCATCCTCCCCCTCACCCCAATTCTGTTCCCGCTCCTCCTGCTCCTCCTCCTACTCTTCCTCCCATCCTCCTCCTCATCGTCCCTCTGGTTTCTTCCGCAAGCCCTTGTACGATTGCAACAGATTGCCTCTCATGGAAAACCCCACCGAAGCCAAACACCAAACACTCACGGAACCCAAAGAAAAGAGCCCCAACCGCGAATGCCCCTCCCAACACGCTCGACCTTTTCGTTTCCAGTGCTGAGCCTTTCCGTTTCCAGGGTTGGGAAACAGCGTTACCAGAATTGGTGGCAGCTCGGTTTTGCAGGGTTGAATCCTCGTTTCTCGGGTTCCTAATTCAACCGTGGCCGAGTGACCCCAGGCAAGAGTGACCGTTGGTGCGCGGACTACAGGGGCTCAGAAGTGGCCAAATCCAAGCGCGCAGGCAACCGCTAACGCATCGCGCTCAGCGACCGGAAGGAGCCCGACGAGACCGCACCACAGGTCCCCCCTCGCTCGCCCGCCGCGAACTCCGCCCCCCAGCCGCGAGCTCCGCCCCACCCGCGAGCTCACTGTGAGCGTCGCTTAACCGATCCCTATCCCCACTGTCATGGACTGGGCCCAGTTCCTGTCAGATGTCGAAGGGGATATCCCCAACTGGGGGGATGAGATGGCGGGGGTCTGGATGGGGATGGGGATGAGGATGGGGATCGGTCAAGCGGTACTGATCGCTGACCCACCGACGCAGCAGCACCCGCCCCCCCCCCGCCGCGAGCTCTGCCGCGCAGGCCGCCAGGAACGCAACCTCGACGGCGAGGAGTCCGGGGGGCGCCTGCCGCCGCCGCGCGCCCGCGATATACATGCATGCCTGCCTACCTACCTGCCGACCTACATGCACACATATACATCCCTAGATACGTGCATACGTTACACTACATTCCATTAAATGACAGTGCATACATACACACACATATACACATATATATATATACACATACATACATGCATCCACACTTGTATACATGCATACATGCATACACACTTGCATACGCACGTGACTCCGTACACATGCACATGCACATACACGCACACGTACACATACACATACACATACGCACATACATGTACATACGTATACACACATAGACAAGCATGTATGCAATTACTTACAAATCGCACACCAACACAACCTTTATACACATGTATGTATGCATGCATGCATGTATGTATATATGTATGTATGTATGTGTGTATGTGTGTATGTATATATGTATGTGTGTGTATGTATGTATGTATGTATGCATGCATGCATGTATGTATGTATGTATGTATGTATGTATGTATGTATGTATGTATGGATGTGTGTATATGTGTGTATGTATGTATGTGTTTATGTATGTATGCATGCATGTATGTATGTATGTATGGTATGGTATGGTATGGTATGGTATGGTATGGTATGGTATGGTATGGTATGGTATGGTATGGTATGGTATGGTATGTAGGTATGTATGTATGCATGCATGTATGTATGTATGTATGTATGTGTGTATGCATGTATGTATGTATTCATATGGATACATGCGTAACGCACGTACGTATATGCACATATCTACATGCATGTATATGCATACGTACACACATCTATACATATGTATACATATATGTATGTATATACACATATGGGGTGGGGGGGCAGCTTGGCCCCCCTGCTCGGGGGTTCAGAGGACGGGTTACTGGGGGGCGGGGGCCTCTGAGGGTAGGACGGGATCCAGGGGCGGATTCACGCTGTCTGAGGCTCCTCGTCCTCGGGGCCCCAGGTCCTCGGGGCTCCATCCTTGAACCACCGATTTGGTGAAGCTCCTCGTCCTCGGGGCCCGAGGTCCTCGGGGCCCCATCCTTGAACCACCGATTTTGGGGGCGGGGTGGGGGGGAGGGGGGGCAGTCCAGCCCTCTGCGCGCGACCGCGCGATGAGGGCCCCTGTCGCCGGCAGGCGTATGAGATACTCTGAGCGAGCTCCACGCCCACGCCTCCCAAAACCCGACGGTCTCGGCAGGCTGGCACTGATGCAAGGGAGGAACCGGTGAGAGGGACGACGAGAAGGGGAGGGGGGAGAGGTGGAGAACGGGAGGAGAAGCGATGATGTCAGACACCACGCTACCTTTGCGCGTGGAAGGCCCTCTGGTGGCCGGGCATTGTCCGCGCAACTACCTCTGCGAGTCTGACGGCCAGTAGTGAGGCTCGGACTGCTTCTGCCCAAGGCGTAAAATATCCAACTGGGGTGGGGGTACAAATCTCGAAGTACACGGCGGGAGGATAGGGTCGTGGCGTACCCGTCAAGGGAAGCACAGCTCGTGATGCACCCCACCGGGTGGGAAGGGGAACGGAGGAGGGAGGAGGGGGTGGAGAGGAGGAGGAAGAGGAGGAGGAAGAGGAGGAGGAGGAGGAGAAGGAGGAGGAGGAGGAGGAGGAGGTCCGAGAAGAGGGGGGGCACAAAAGGAGAACTCCCGACGCGACATGCGCCGCGGTGGGCAGCGCTGCATCCGAAGCGGCGAAGGAGAAGAGTCACCTACCTAAACGCAGCTCCCAGAAGGCTTCGGTCGAAGAATCAAAGGCAATCCGTGAGCGCCAACGCCGAGGCGACGACGGGGCCGCCTCGGTCCCGCGACAGTGCTCGTCGTTTGGGCCGCCTTGGCGCGGGAGGGGCGAGAAAACGCTCAGACTGGCTGTGCGGCGCTGGTAGCGAAGCAAGCGCGAGGTCTCGAGCGCGCCGCGGGGGGCGAAGCCGTCGGTAATTCACTTTCTGTAGACCGTTGGGGCATGGAGTGCAACATGTTAGAGCTTTGCCTCCCCTGCTTCGGGTATGTTTCTGATGGTCCACAGCAGGACGTCCCGATCGTGGTAATGGCGAGAATGATGATCTCGTCATGACGACGGTGATGATTTTGGCTTGTTTCTGCAGCGTGAGGTCCCGATTGCGGCGCTGATGACTGGCGGTGGCGGTGCAGGTGGTGATTGCGTTGGCTGCTGTGATGAGCGGGGACGGCAACGCCTTTCAATGGCGCGCTCCTGCTCGCCTCCTGCGCGCTCTGACAGGCAACGACGCACTACGCGCGCATTCATGGCCGCCATCCGGCCACGAGCGGGGGAATCGAAGGACAGTTGCGGGCCCTTCCCTAGCAGCTAGGCGCTCATCGAACCAAATTCGCGAACCGCCTCACAACGCTCTCGTAGACGCCCCGCCGCCAGCCCCAAAGACTTGTTGGCCTGATTTTCCCGCGAGCTGTTGGCCGGAACTTGTCGTGAAGTGTTCGCCAGAATTTCTGGCGGCACGTCCTCCGGATGTTCTGGTGAAGTTTCCAGTGAAGCTGTTTGCACCTAGAACCGTGGCCAAAAACATCCACAAGAAACTTCACTGAAAACTTCAGTGCCTCTGCCCCACCCTCCCCGCCCAAGTCGTGAATCCCCATCGCTTTCCTTGCGGCTCCTCGGGCGCTCGCGCATGAGCGGTGACGGGTCCGGATTCGGTAGGCGGGGCTGGCGGCCAGGGGGCAGGAGGCCCGACGGATCCCGACGGTGTCCGACGGAACCCAACGGGGCCCAATGGGCCCGTCGAATTCCGACAGAGCCCGACGCGGCCTGACTCGCTCCACACTGCCCCGCGGGTCCGGTGGGAACCCGACGGAGCCCGAAGGAACCCCACGGAGCCCAGCAAGCCCAGCAAGGCGGACTGGAGCAGGTCTGCCCCGTGGACCCCGGCGGAGCCCGACGACGCCCGACGGAACACGACGGAGCCCGACGCGGCCCCGCAGGGCCCAGCGAGCTTGCGCCGAAGACATGCAGCCCCAAGAACTCCGGCAGGGCCCGCAAGCTCCCTACCTGGATCTACTGGACATCGGGGCCCCGACGGCTGTGCAGACTGCGGAACACATCGCAGAAAGATCCTCGAACCGCGCGCACGCTGCGTCCACAGGCGGCGTCATCGCGCCATGCATCCGGCCCGCGCGCTCATGCGTGACCCCGTGCTGACCCTGCCGCCCCTCTGCGCGTGCAGTGCTGCATCCCAGCGGGCCGAAAGGACCTCTCCCCCGCCGACCAACAAAAACGAATTGATGGGACACCTGTTTTTTCACTCAGGAAGCCCTTCAAGATGACCAGGAAGAGAAATACATAAGAAAACAGCCGCGCCCTGACGGCGCATTGGCAAACGTATTGAAACTGCGGATCGCATGCGTGCCGGCATGCAGCGGAGCCCACATAGTTGCACAGTGCCTCGGGACTCGGGGAACCGTCGTCGTATCCTTTGTTCCCAAGGGCGATGGTGAACAAGAGGCGGGGGCACATGAGCACACGATGAGGCCCGCGTGGGCATCGAGATGCGGGAAAGGAGAAACAAAAAGGGCCCCCGAAAGACGCCGAGAGGCCTCGATGACTCGAGACGTGAGGAGGATACCCCTCATCGTCGTCTAGTGCAAATTTTCTGATTCGGTTTTTTCGGCATTGTTCGACATTGGGCGGAAGGGGGGGGCGGCTCCAGACCTCTGCTTAGCGCGACTGTTTGCAACAGCGCGTCCCATGGAGGAGACTCCCCCTGCTTGAAGCAAGCACCGAAAACAGCCAAGATCTACTCCGTGGGGGGGGATGGGGTGCGAGGGCCCGCCCCGATCGGCAAAACAGTGAGCAAGAAAACGATCACCTGGAGAAACAACATGACGTCGGTTGAGCAAGAACCGACCGTCCCGGCATTCCTATAAACCTACCACGGCATGCTCTTAGAAATCAACAATGTTCTAATAACAGAAACCATATTCTTAGAACATAATCCCGTTGTGTTAAAACAAGACGTTCTCAGCCAGAACTGTTCTAAAAACATTTCTTGCATACCATTAAAAGGTTCTTAGTATATTATTTGGTGGGCCTGCAGGCCAGCCAAGAAGCCTCGCCACTGCTTGAGTCGGCGCGCGGCGCCTCCCAGCGCCCTCCCGGTGCGCTTCCTCCAGCGCCGAGCCAAGCAAGCAGACGAACCTGCGACCCTGTTCTCGGCGCCCAGCCTGCGGCCACTTGCCGGTCCAAGGGAAACCATGTCTACGCAGTCTGTGCCTCTTCGACGCACCCAGCCGCCGGGTACGGTCGTGGCGTGCCCCGGCTGGGCGGGCACAACTGGTGACGCACCCAGCCGGCACTGGGAGTCCCACGCCCGCCTGGGGAGAAGGGGGGAGCGGGGTGAGGCGAGGGAGGAGGAGCACTCGAGGACTCGAGACATGTCCTTCGCTGGCCTGGCCTTTGGAGGGAGGTCGGAGGAAACTATGGATGGGAAAGAGGAGGATGAGGAAGGAGGAGGAGGAGGAGGAGGAGGAGAAGGAGGAGAATGAGAAGGAAGGAGGATGAGTATAAGGATGGGGATGAGTATAAGGGAGGAGGAGGAGGGAGGAGGAGGAGGAGGAGGAGGAGGAGGAGAGGAGGAGGAGGAGCGGAGGAGGAGGCAGGACTCGAGGACTCGAGGCAGGGCAGCCGCGTCGCGGGATAGAAAACGCTGCGCGGCAGGGTGGGGGCGGCAGCAGGCCGCGGCGGCGGCAGAGGCCGCCGAGGCGGTGGCCCTTACGGCACGCGCGGCCACACCACAGGCCTCGGACGAGGTCGCAGAAAAACAGAGGGCTCGCGCAGGGGAACGAACAATGACATAAACATAACAACTCAGAGGTCCGCGCGGCCTTCCCGGATCCGCGCTGGAACCCCCTCGCGGCGCCTCCGGCGCCGCCCCTGGCGCTCTCCGCGCGCCAGGGAGAGGGGTCCAGCGCAGATCCGAGAAATCCGCGCGGACCTCCGAGTTTTTATGTTCATGTCATTCTTCCCCCCCCCCAAAAAAAAGGGCTCGCGGGGGCCTCTCCCAACCCCCATATACCAGCCTGAACTGGCAGCCGCGGGGCCCGGGAGCGGCCTGTACCCCATGAAGACGCCGCAGCCGTCGAGGACAAGGCAACCCTCGACGAACATGCAGAAGGACACGGAGAGGATGGAAGGATTCGCGGGGTGCCTCCTGCAGTCGAAACGCTGTCATAAGGAATCCTGGAGAAGGAACGAGGCCGCGTTTTTCACAAGTTAAGCTTAGATGTCCCAAACAAGACTTCCGGAAAACCTAAGACAAACTGTACAACAATTAAGGAACACTGAGCCCCTCCCCAACGAAAAGGGTTCCTTCTTCAGCGGCCCGACTGTACCAGCCAAGACTGGCAGTAACCCAGCTCAGCGGCCGATGGTCTAGGTGAAACAAGTTGCCAACCAGGACCCGCAGCACGCCACCGTGGTCCAGTATGCAATCCAAGCACGGGGCGCAAGCGACGAGCAGCACGCCAGTGGTGCTCACGTGAAAATCGGCTGGGACACACTTCAACAGCAACGCCGTGTGCTCCTCTCCTCATGCCAAGGGACGGTGGCCAGCGCGGGGACGAGGGTCAACCCAGCGGGCTGGCTGCGCGAACCTCTCGACGGCACGGCCCAGCGGCCGAAGGAAAGGGTGGTGCCCTGGGTCAACGCAGGAGGAGGAGGAGGAGGAGGAGGAGGAGCAGGAGGAGGAGGAGGATGTGGGGGAGGAGGAGCAGAGGGAGGAGAAAGAGGAGAAAGAGGAGAAAGAGAAAGAGGAGGAGGAGGAGGTGGAGGAGGAGGAGGAGGAGCTGTACCTTCTTCAATCCACCCCTCGAGCATAGAACGAACGACGCGGCAGGTGGTCCGCGGCGGGCCCGCCTCCAAGCCCCTGGCGGCGTGGGACGACTCGAGCCCCAGGGCGGCAGCGCTGGCGAGGACCAGCACGGCCATGCCGACCTCCAGGACGTGCCCGGCACTCCTCCGAGCGCTGCATCCCTCGCCCCCCCCGGCCCTCCCTCCTGCTTCTTCCTCATCGTCCGGCCTCCTCTCAGTCGAACTCAGCATCCTGCTCCCCCTCCCCGTCCACCTCCCGCCTCCTCAGCCTCTCGGCACGCGTCGTGGTCGCCCTTCCTCCTCGTCCTCCTCCTCCTCCTGTTGCTGTTCCTCATCTCCCTGCTCCTCTTCCTCCTCTGTCTCCTGCACTTCCATCGCCTTCTCAGCATGGACCCTCTCGAACCGTCTTGAACTTACGAGGGCCCTCCCTTGATTAGAACCTATTAGCCCTCCCTCGGAGCGCCAGGAACTATTCCCCGCCCCCCTCTCTTTGGAGGGCTGAGCAACCACCAACACAATGACGACGCCTCCAAGCGAGGCCCCTTAGCAAGCGCACCTGTGAAACTGATCGAACAGGGCATGACTGTCCAGTAAACGTACATGGCCGTTTAGTCAATACAAGTTATGGAGGTTCCTCCCTCGGCCAGGATGAAACAGAAATGTAGACGTAGACGTTCGAATGTCCACGCGGATTTCCTGGATCGGTGCTGACACCCCCCCTTGTGCGCGGAGCGCGCCAGGGATGGCGCCGAGGGCACCGCCCATGGAGTCCTAAACGCCGACCTCTGAAAATTTGTACTAGTACACGTACGCTGTTCTTGTTCTTCTTTGACCCGGGGGCGCGCAAACATGGATTAGCGATCCATGGATGTCGGCGCGCGGTCGCCGAATCCATGGATCGGGGGAGGCGCCCTCCCCAACATGCGGCCTGGGCCGCCTCCTTCGGCGGCGGAAGCCCGCGATTTCCCGTTGGAAGCGGGACCCGCCGCAAACCCACGCCCCCTTGGCCGCGATCGCCCGACTCGACCGGCTGCGGCTCCTCACCTCTCGCCCCCCTTCGGGAGCGGCCAAGAGGGGGGTGTCCAAGAGGGGGGGGGTGCAAATCATGACCGGCGGCATCTGCGCGGCCCAGCGGGGAGGCCAGGGACGTAATGAGATAAGAAGGAGCGCCAGGAGATTTGGGGAGATATCGTGGCCCCCGCCATGATATCCACCCCCCCCTGGCCATCACAATCCTCTTTTCCGCTCCCGATCACCTCTCGCCCCCCTGCTCCTCCTGCCGGGACGCGAGCACCTTAACGGGCGAAGAACAATATAACATAAACTTTTTCGCTGTCGGGGGCGCCTGCCCCTGGGCGGCTGGAAAGTTTATACCCTTACGGTGGCACCGTAGGGGTATAAACTTTCCAGCCGCCCAGGGGCAGGTGTCTCCGACGGCGGAAAGTTGATTTTATACCGTTCTTCGCTCGCTGATCACCTCTCGCCCCCCTGCTCCTCCTGCCGGGACGCGAGGCGAGGCCGGGGGCGGCGCCGCCCCGGCGGCGGGAGGCGGCCGAGGCCCCCCCCCGGGAGCTCCGCAGGCAGGCAGTAGGAGCGGCAGGGCCGACGAGGGGGGGCGAGTTGTCCACCACCGCTACCACATGCAGGACGGGGGAGAAGGGAGGATGGGGACAATGAGTTAACGGGCGAAGAACGGTATAAAATAAACTTTTTCGCCGTCGGGGACACCTGCCCCAGGGCGGCTGAAAAATTTACACCCTTACGGTGGCACGGTAGGGGTATAAACTTTCCAGCCGCCCAGGGGCAAGTGTCCCCGACGGCGGAAAGTTGATTTTATACCGTTCTTCGCTCGCTGAATGATGAGGTCCTCCCCTCCTCCTCCTTCTCCTTCTCGTCCACCCTCTCCTACATATGTAGCGGTGGTGGAGCGTGGGTCCATCAAGGGAGGGCGAACAGGAGCAGCTGCACCAGCTGGACATCGGGGCTGTCGTGCCACAAGAAAAAAACACAAGAAGACATGTACTGAAAGTTCGCGCGGCGTCGGCGCGCGCAAAGGCCTCTGACACCGCATCGATCGTTCAATCCTGAATCCATGGAGGCCCCGATCGTTCGAGGTAGAACTCCGTTGGGCCCAATGGCGTTATCGCGTCCCTCGGTGCTTCCGCGTCAGAGACATCAACCTTGAACGCCTTCGCCGGCGTCGCCGGCGCGCCAACGCCGCACGAACAGACCCTACTGCGGGCAGTACTTATCTCCATATCCAGAGCGTCTTGGACTTTTCGGGAAGAGGTGCCGCAACGCCGCGCCGAGGCGCACTGGATATGGATAAAAAATCAAGCCTCTTGGGGCCAGATTTTTATCCATATCCAGTGCGTCTACGGTTTCTAGGGAAGACAGCCCAAGACTCCAAGACTCACTGGATGTGGGTATAATTATTGCCTGCATCTACACTTGCATATGCATCAACCTTCGGACGTCCGAGCTGATTTCTTGGATCGGCGCTGGACCCCCTCCCTGGCGGGTCGAGCGCGCCAGGGGCGGTGCCAGAGGCGCCTGCAGGGAGGCCCATCGCCGATCCAAGAAATCCGCGTGGAGCTCCGAAAGCTTCGGCACGACAGAAAAATGCAGCAGACGCTGGCCAGCCAGTACCTGGACCACAAGATCTCTATATTCCTGAGGTCTCGGAGGCACGGTGCGTCGCGCAGACGCCGAAGACCGGATCGACGAAGCATACAGTCAACCCGTATCATACGGATGCGCGATATGGATGCATAGCTCGTCCGAAGCCGCAACTCCGCCTGGGGCTCTCGATGCCATGAGGTGTGGATTTCAGCATTCTCCAGACCAGTGGGGACGGTTCTTTGCGGCATGCCGCCAGAAGGAGGGAGTGGGGAAGCAGAGGAACGAGAAGGGGGGGAGGACGAGGGACGAGAAGGAGGGGTGGAGCAGAGGACACGAGGGGCGCCCTGCCTGGAGGAGCAAGCACTGGCATAAAGAGGCATAAGCATACGCTTCCAGAGAACAGCACGCACTTCTCGGATCGGCGCTCGACCCCCTTCCATGGCGCGCGGGGCGCGAAACGGGGCGGCAGCAGAGGCGCCGCTGAGGGGGCCAAACGCCGATCCGAGACATCAGCGCGGACCTTCAAAAGTTTATGCTTGTGCAGCGTGCATTCCTCTTCGCTGGAGCAGGGAGAAAGGGAAGAAGAGAAATGATAGGGGGTAGGTCGAGGGAAAAGGCGAGAGGATGGAACAGCAAGGCCCTCACCTCCAAGGACATCTGTGTTTTCACGTGGACCCGCACATGTCCCCAACCATTCCCGATGACACATTGTTCATCCTAAAACGTGTTTTGACGGTCACGGGGCCTGGCGAGGGATCTCGGAGGCAGAAAACGACGAAACACCGTCCGTCGTGTTTTGTTTACTACGCAAGGAACTCGGGAAACGAGAGACGCCATGCTTCCTCCTGTCGCTATTCCAAAACCGCCGACCCCTGCTTGTCTGGGGTGAAAAGGCGTGTGAGATGATTGGCTGTCTCTCTCCCCCTTTTCCCCTCCGCTGGGGTCCAACATCGGAGCCTCCAGAGTGCCAACATAGTCTAAGGGAGCGTGGGCACGACCCTGGGTAGCGCCACGACGGTCCAAGATGGCTCCAGTGACTGCCCACGAGGCCCCCCAGACGGGCCAAGAGTGCTCCCAGATGACCGCCAAGAGCCCCAAGAGGTAAGACTTGCCTCATTCGCCTGCATCTGTTGAGCATTCTCGCCTTTTTCTTCGCACGGCGTCCAAGACGGCCCAAGGGCCCCGCAAGATCGCCCCAAGACAACCCATGAGGTCCCTAAGAGGGCTCCGAGACGGCCCGCGAGGACCCCAAGACGGCCCCAGGGGCCTTTAAGACGGTCCATGGGAGGCCCAAGACGGCTTCACGAGGGGCTCAAGAGAAGTACGAGCGGACATTCCGAGCCCTTGCCCCCCCCGATGGGCCCAATAGCCCCCCAGAGGACACCGAGGCGCCCCCAAGAGTTCTCCAAGAGGGTCAAGAGAGCATCAGATGCATCTTAGAGGCTTCTGAGCCACAGCCCAAGCACTGTGGCGGGTTGGGCCGAACGCCGCAAAACAACCTCCACGAATGTCGCGAGCTCTTGCTCCTTTAAGGGGCCGGCGGAATGGCGCAAGCCCGTGGACAAGCATGAATGAACGAGTGGCGAGGGAAACAACAACTCGTCCCAATTCTTGGGAAATGCATGTAGAAGATTCGCATGTTTTGTCTCAGCAGCGTCCAAGACTGCTCAAGAGACTCCCAAGATCGCTCCAACACGCCCGAGGGCCCCAAGACGGCTCAAGAGGGTCCCAAGAGGCGCCCAATATGGCCCAAGAGGGCCAAATCAGGAACCCGAGAGGGTTCCATGAGAGGCTACTCGAACTGACATTCCGAGCCCTGAGCCCCAAGAAGATCCCCGAGACCACCAGCAGGCGCCCAAGAAGCTCTCAAGAGGCGGCCCGAAGAGGCCTGCAAGAGGCCCAAAAGAGGCTCCCGGACAGTCCCCAAGAGGCCCCAGAAGCCTCACAGGTGGACTCTTCCCTCTCCTGGGGGTCGGCGGACTGGCGGAAGCCTCTTGAGTAACGAATCCCGAGTGAAACAGGTCCTGCATTCCAGGGCCTTCCCCCCAGGCACAGCTCCTCCTCCTCCTCCTCCTCCTCCTCCTCCTCCTCCTCCTCCGCCCTCCTCCTCCTCCTCCTCCTCCTCCTCCTCCGCTCTTCATCCGGAATCGTGCTCTTTTTCCCGCCGTGGTCACGCCACGAGCCGCGCCGGCGCCTGGGAACGAGCCATGCCTGGAAACCCTCACACGGCGCCGGCGCGACGCGTGACGTGGCCAGCCCCCCGCGCCAATCATCCCCCCTCGCCCCCCACTGCCCCCTCCTTCCCCCCCCCCCTGCCCCCTCGCTCCCCTCCCCCCCCCTCCCCCTTCCCCCTTCCGCCTGCCCCCCCCCCCCCTTCCCCCCCGCCCCTCCCCCCGCCCCGCCCCCACCGTCACGCCCGTTCTGTGAAGGAGCCAGAACATGCTCTCGAGGCTTCGCCTTCCACGACGCGACGGCGCCCCCTGGCGCCCTCCGCCCGTCCCCGCTGCGCCGCCCGCGTCCTGGCGTGCCCTCCGCCTCCAGCGCCGCCGAGCCCGAAGGCCGCGCCGGAGGCGCTCGCCGAGGCCCGCCCTCGCGCGCGGACGCGTCATAGGCCCGCCCAGGGCGAGCTGCGCGGCGCGGCTGGCGTCGTCAGGCGAGGCGAGGCGAGGAGGCAACTCCCGGGAGGTCTTCGTGCGAGCGGTCCGGAGGCTGCCGGGCCCTGCTGGAGGGCCAGCCAGCCGAGTGATGCCAGTGTGGGCACGAGGTTCATATGATCTGGAATACAGCACTGGAAAGGCCTCGCGCGGCAACTTGAGACCCGGCTCGCGTCGGATCTTCGTCGGATCCACGTCGGATGTACGTGGGAACTAGTCGGACTTCCGTCGGGGCATCGCCGCGCAAACGTCGTCCCATGCTTGACGGGGCGGGGGTGGACTAGATCATACACCTCCTGCGCGCCGCGCGAGGCCTCCGAATTTCACCTCACGGTTAATATAAGCTAGGCCGGATTCAGCGACAATCAACCAGCTCAAGCGAGACTAAGCCTGATGAAGCCGGCTTTCGGACACGGATATACCAGCGCTGATGCTGAATTGAAATCACTAGGAGTTACGCCCTGAGCGATCCGAGTTGTGGCTGGGAGGACGACAAGACTACCCGACCTGCCACGAAAGCAACGGTTCCTGAAGGAAACGGGTCCTGAACCCCCGAGGCCTTCCCCACGACCAAGTCTTCATCCTGAACCGTTTCTGAACGGTCCCGGGGCGGGCGCGCTGGCGCCTCACCCCCCTACGCCGTGCACCTCATGCGGCCGAGGCGATCGGCTACGTTTGTGGCTGTGAGAGGTCACGCAGCCATTACAGTCGCGCCTGTGGGCCCCGGAAACGGCAGGGCTGTTTTTTCACCGTTTCCGAAAAAATGTCCCTTGAAAATGGAAACGGCAAAAAAACGGAGACCGGAAACGGCAAAAAAACGGCTCCAGGATTGGACCCCGAGCCGGAACCGGTCAAACAACGGCGACGGAACCGGTAAAAAACGGCGTCGGAACCAGCAACAAAAAGGCAAAACGGAACTGGTGAAAAAACGGCCCTGCCGTTTCCAGGGCCCACTAAGTGCACTGCAGACCCTCTGAACTAGGGAACGCTGATTCACGGTCGGTATCGACCCAGCCTTCGCGCTGGGACCGCTGGTGTTTGCTTCTGGTGGGCTTGACGCTGTCGTGTGGATGTTACAGTGCATTCGTTGGCACCAGGGCCAAGGTCTTGTCTTGATGGACTCGGCGCTTCTGCGCTCAAGGTGTCAAGATCAGGCGGACGTCTCAGCGCGGGGGTGAGAGAACCACCGAGGGCGTAGCCCCAATTCGCTGGTCTGTGGATCGTGTCCCAGGTATGCGCTGCTTGAGTGTGCTCTGCAGTGGTATGTTTTCCTGCGGCGTCATCGGCGTGCATGTCTACACGCTCGTCTTCCGACGTGCACGTCCCAGTGCAGTGTAGGGATCACCTTTTCATCATTACGATTGACCTTTTGTTAGTCCCTCGCGTAACTGGGTCTTTGACCTGTCCACTCGACATGTTGTCTCGAAGCGGGGGCGATCGCTGACTCCATTGCCTCTGCGGCGTGGCCAAGCAACAACTCATGAGGAGCTCTTTTAAACCGTAGGCCGCAATGGCTCCAACCGGCCTTACGGAGCAACTGGTTGCACAACTTTCGTATGGTGGTGGACTACGCTTCCATGTAGCATCAGTGTGCCGGTAGGGGGCAAGTTCGCCCCAGCTGGCCTGCCCTGCGTAGTTTCGCACTCCAGCTCATGAGTGCGCTCTGAGAGCGACAATCGCGTCTGCTCTGCGCAGTTTGCCATCGTCCCATGCGGGTCCGATGCGCCTCCGGAGGAGGAGGAAAAGGAGGAGGAGGAGGAGGAGGAGGAGGAGGAGGAGGAGCATCTCATTCTAGGAGCCTAAGCGCAGCCCAGATCTCAGGACCTGCCTTCCCCTCAGGACCCCGTTGCTCTCGGCGACCCGTCCGCGAGGGCAGCAGTCCAGGCACGCAGGAACTCTGCCACTCGACAGCGGTCGACGCATTGCAGCACGTCATTACGGGGGAGACGATGCAGGCAGGGGCGGGGGGCGCGAAACGACCAGGGGGCCGCCTGGAGCGCCACTTGTGGCGCCCTCCGCCCGAACAGGCACACGGCAGGCAGAGCGAGAGACATCGAGACGAGCAGAGAGAGGGGGAGGGAGTGAGGCTTGCCATGTAGACGGCGAGAGCGCCAGACGACATCGGAGTTTCCCCGGAGCGCGGCTGTGCACTCCTCGCCGCGTATGCAGCAGCAGAAGCAAATGGGCAAACATGTGTGCCGTGTGCGTCCTCTGCCTTCGAGACGTGCCGGAACGCTGCTACTGCCCCTGCGGTGCGGCATCCCCTCTACTCCTGCCTGCCCCTCCTCGACCTCCGCTGCCATCCTGCCACTTCTCCCCCATCCCCCCCCTTCCTCCCCAGACCTTCCGCGAGGGCTAAACAACAGCACAAGGACCTCGCCACCTAAAATCCGGTCGAGGTTTTGATCAGTCCAGGTAGGTCTACAGGTCTGAAGGGCTACTTCTTAGCACTCTGGAAGGTCAAGCTCCCCATTCCCCAAATTCACCGCCTGCTCCCGCTCGTCTCTCCTCTGCGATTCCTCTTCCTCCGACGGGCTACGACGAACGACGGCGGCGGCGACGCACGAAGCTGGACGGACGAGAGCGCCGACGGATGGCGGTGGACGACGGAGGCGGCGGCGGACGCCAACTCGGAGGACGCCACCCAAACGCCTGCAACGATCCTGGCCAGGCCCATCCCCGGGTGAGCGATCGCAGCGTATACGCGCCCTCCTGGCTTGGGGAGCAAGCTGTCTTGGCAGCCTCCCAAAATGAAAGGGGGCCAAGGACACACAAATAAGTAGACGCAAATCCCAGGGTTCGTCTTGTCCCCCGCTCCATATTTTCCCATCCTCTCCCGGGAGTCAACTATTAATGGTGTATGTGTATGTTTGCCCCCCCCCTGTATAAACAGGAGGTCAAAGTGGATGGGGTTGGATGATCGCGCCGCATCAAAGATGCAACGGCGACGCCGGCGTTGAGAAAGTCGGGTTCCACATGCAGCCGCCTCGCCGATAGATCGGCGATGCGGCGCGATCCTCCGACCCCATGCGCTTCGACCCTGCTTGGACGGCCTGGATATGCAACGATCCTGGAGGCCTGAGCTGGGATCGAATCGCCAAATCGGATCGCGTCGGAAACACCTCGGATTGCCACGACTCGTCCCGCATCGAGTCGACATCGGTTCGCCCTGCCCGGCTCCGGCCGACCCCGGCCGATGCTGGCAAATCGAACCGAATCGGAACGGCGGCCCCAGCAAGCAAATCTCATCGCTTGGAATCGGATACAGCGGAGGCCAGTCCACAAGCAACCTTTCACAAGAAATCCAGCCCTGAGTCCCCAGGACATCCATCGATTTCTGGGCGCAGAGTCGCCACGCCCTCCATCGGACAACCATCGAAACCCAAGAAACCCAGGGCACCCTGGAGGCAAGCAGGGTGTCTCCTGGCATGGGCCTCCACTCTAGTGTTATGTCGGGCGTGTCCCCCTACAGGGGGATTTTCGACGAAAAAGAAAACATACCCCAAAAATACCCCAAAGAGGTCAAACAATACCCCAACAATGGTCCCCAGACTATTTTTGAACTATTTTTTTATTATTTTTGGGGTATTCTTTATTTTTCGTCGACAATCCCCTTGTAGGGAGAGCCCGACTCAACTCCAGTGGGGGACCCTGCCCCGACTCGGCGTGCATCGGAGGGCGAACCGAGACCACGGCGGCTCCGGAGCGGGCCCCGGAGCCCCCCCCGGGCTCTGAACGCACCCAAGTATTGGCGGCGCGCAGAGGGGGGACAGTCGGGGCGTTGACCTAAGGAACCCTAAATAAGGAACGAGGCCCCTTTTCTCCAGAAATTGAACTTCGACTTCGTATCGAAAACATGAGGAAAACCTGAGGCAAGCTATGAAACAATCAAGGAACACCGAGCCCCTGCCCAACGAAAAGGGTTCCTTCTGCAGGGCCCCGGCTGTAGGGGGAGGGGGGAAGGCTTCTCAGAAGCACCCCTGCTTCCTAGAAGGCGCGGGCCTCCTTGATGGACGCAAGGCCGAGGCCTTCTAAGAAGCAGGGTGCTACTAAGACTAAGAAGCCTTCCCCCCTCCCCCTACCCCCTTTGGCGCGCCGCCACAATGATCCGAGCTGCGCCCAGCCGTGGCGACAAGGGGTCGCTGATCCTCGGAACGTGTGTTCGCGCCAACGTGCGTTTCCCCACTGAGGTCCTCCACTGCGACGAAGGCGATGTGATGATCGACTGGTTGGGTGGAACGGGGTAAACACACATTGGGCTAACACACGTCCTGAGGATCATCGCCTCCTCAACAGGCCAACTGCCACGGAACCAGATCGTAGGCGGCTCTTTCCTGGGCCAGCGCAGACGTACACAGTACGTGCTCGACCACACAAACCTTCCACAAGGAACCCAACCCTGGAACCCAAGGTCGCCCCTTTTTTTGTGGGAGCGTCACGCTTCCCACAGCGAAACCATCGAAACCCAAGAAACCCAGGGCACACTGGAGGCAATCAGGGTGTTTCTTGGCATGAGCTTCATTGGGTCGGCCGTGTCTAGTCAAAAAATGCCAGAACAATTGTCAACAATAGTAAAAAAAATCGTCCCCCAGACTATGTGTTTGCTGTTTTTGAATGTTCGTCCTCTAGAGCGGAATGCCCGACTTAAGGCTTCCACTGTTAGACGAGCGCGTTCCACTACTCGCCAAGTGACTACTCGCAGATGGCCTGGATCCGCCAGGGGGGATCTACGAGAAGCTACATTGAAGCAAACGTGTGCTTTTCGGACGTTTTTACCGGCCTGGAACATATCCCTGTCCCTATGCTGGGCATCGCCTCGTCACGATGCCAATCTCAGGGACTCCCTCAGTCTCTGAGGGTGCATCCTTGAGATTGTCATCGCCTTTTGGCGTGTCAATCTTAGGGATGGGGATAAGATCGAGGCTGGTGACGCTTGCGAGTACAGGGCAGTTTTTAATACATGTGATCTTTTTATATATATATATATATATATAACAAGTAGCATGGGATCTTTAATACATGATCGATTTGTGAATCAATGTATGCATGAACTCATCGCTGCCTTTGATACGAAACCCCTGCCTTTGTAATACATGCTCCGCACGCGGAGCATGTATTAGAAACGGCACGGTCGGCACTTTGCGAGTAGTGCCACGCGCCCGCGGGCCGCGGCCGGCGCCGGCGGCCGGCGGCCCCACCGCGCCCGAGGCGGCCCCTCCTGCGGCTCCGCCGCCGCCCGCCACCGGCGGGGCCTCTGCGCGGGGCTTTCGGCCACGTGGGCGGCCACGTCGTCGTCGTCGGCGTCGTCGTCGTCGTCGCCGTCGTCGTCGGCGTCGGCGTCGGCGTCGGCGTCGGCGTCGGCGTCGACGTCGGGGTCGGCGTCGGCGTCGGCGCCGTCTCTCTCGAGGTCCGCGTCGCCACGCCGCTGCCGTCGTGCCGGAGCGGGGCCGCGGCGGCGCGCTGCCGCGGAGGCCCCCCTGAGGCGCGACGCGTGCAGGGCGCGCGGCGTCGGCGAGCGAGGGCTACCTCCTCCGCCTTCTCCTTCTCCTCCTCCTCCTCCGTCTCCTCCTCCTCCTCCTTCCTCCGCTTCCTCTTCCTTCCTCCTCCTCCTCCTCCTCCTCCTCCTTCCTCCTCTCCTCGCCTTCTCCTCCTCCTCTCCTTCTCCTCCTCCTCCCTCTCCAACCAGGACGCAAAATCCTTCTCCTGCTCCTCTCCTCCTCCTCTCTCCTCCTCCTTCTCCTCCTCCTCCTCCTCCTCCTCTTTCCCTCCTCCTCCTCTCTCCTCCTCCTCTGCCTCCTCCTCCGCCTCCTCATCCTCCTCCTCATCCTTCCTCCGCATTCTCCTACTCCTTATCCTCCTTTTCCCCTCCTCTCGTCCGTCCTCCTCCTCCTCCTCCTCCTCCTCTCCACCTCCTCCTCCTCCTCCTCCTCCTCCTCCTCCTCCACTCCTCCTGTCGCACCCCCGAGGCTGGTCGAAAGGGCGGGCTGGGCGTTTCGCATCCTCACCATTAATGATCCTGAATCCTGAAGCCTAAGAGCTGGCAACAGTGTCACAAATGGAGGGCGGTTGTTTTTCAAAATGTGGCTCTCGCCGCAGCGCCGCGCTAATCGCAAGAACGGCGTTCGGGCAAGATTCAGAATTTTCGCACGGTTGCCCCCTAACGGAACAAATCCTTCAGTGGAGATGAACCCTTGTATGGGGCCAAAGAGAATGGAGCTTGCAGAGGGGTGGATTCAAACATCGTTGATGAGTCTTGGGCTTACGCTGGTCCTCCTCCTGCTCGTCCTCCTCCTCTGCCTCTTCCTCCTCCTTCTCCTCCTCCTCCTCCTCCTCCTTCGGCTTGTTTGGCTTCTGCGACAAACGGCGACGGTGATGCCGACAGGCGGGACGTTCAATGCAACCTTCATTCGGTAGTGGGGCAAGATCGAAGGAAAATCTGTCGCAACCACAGGGGCGCCGTTCGGGCGGGCGGGACCGTAAATATACGATCCACTCAGTGATGGAACGTTCAGTCGGGCGGGCCGGCGGGACATAAAATGCAACAGGACAAAAAATGAAATCAGATCGCAATCATCGGGGACGCCGTTCGAGCGGGCGGGACATTGAATATACGATTCACTCAACGATGGAGCGCTCAGTCGAGCGGGCGGGCGGGACATTGAATGCAACCTTCTTCCTGTGATGGGACAAGATTGCGGGAAAACATATCACAACCACTGGGGACGCCGTTCCGGCGGGCGGGATATTCAATATATAAATCACTCAGTGATGGAACGCTGTCGGGCGGGCGGGCGGGACATTAAATGTAACCTTCACTCGGTGATGGGGCAAGATGTGGGGAACAGAACATATATCACATCCGCAGGGAACGCGGCTCGGGCTGGCGGGACATTAAATATACGATCCACTCAGTGATGGAACGTTCAATAGGGCGGGCGGGCGGGACATTACATGCAACCTTCACTCAGTGATGAGGGCGTCATCATCATCGTCGTCATCGTTATCTTCATCGTCATTGTCATTGTCATTGTCATTGTCATTGTCACTGTCACTGTCATTGTCATTGTCATTGTCATTGTCATTGTCATTGTCATCATCATATTCATCATATTCATCATCATCATCATCATCATCATCACCTCATCACCTACTCACCATCACCAGCACCACCACAATCATCGTCGCTGTCCTCGCTACTCGACGGCGACGGCACCGGCGCCAGCGCTCGCCGTCGTCGGTTGCAGGGGGGGGGCGGCCCTCTCGTAGTCGCTGCCCAACGGCGCCGGCGCCTTCCCCAGGGCCGGCATTTCATCCCGAGTCGATTTTGGACGGTGGAGGCCCGGGGGCTGGCCTCCAGAATCCTGAAAAACGGAGAAGGGCCTGCCGCCGCTGTGTTTTTTTGGCGAGGCCTGGACCTTCAGGCCCCTCTCCCACACATCCACCCCCTCGGAGCTCCAGAGGACCGGGGTGTTGCTCTGGCAAGGGTTAAGTCGGGCCTGTCCCTCTACAGGAGGAGTATCCAAAAATACCAAAGACATACTCAGGGGACGATTTTGTTGATTATATGTGGCCTATCTTGGCACATGTGTTTTGCTGTAAAACAAATCCGCCTGTAGAGGGGACATGCCCGACCCAAGGCAAGGGGCTCGAGGGGAACCCCGCCCGCCGTGGCGACAGGAAGCCCCCCCGAGACCCCGACACACCGAAGGGGTAGCAAAAAACAACATAAACACAAACGCCATAGAAGAAGAAACAACGCCACAATCATAAACTTTGGGCGCTCCGCGCGGGTTTCTCGGATCCGCACCGGGCCCCACAAAGATAAACTTTGGGCGCTCCGCGCGGGCTTCTCGGATCCGCGCCAGCGGCGGCGCCGCAGGCGCCGCTGGGGTGGGGCCCAAGCGCCGAGGGGGGGGCACCCCCGCCGACAACCCCACATCGACCCCCGTCGCGGGCAGCCACCACGCGCAAAAGGCGCTCCGACTCCCGTCTCGGCGCGACGACGAGGCGAGATTGACCCTCGTCGGGGAGGGTACCCTCCCACGCTTATTAAACGACAAATCAAACATGTTCAGAACCATATCCCAAAAATCATAGAAAGATCGTCCCCATACTATTTCCCCAACATCTTGCTGAACGGGGTGTTGTTTTGATAGAAGCTAACTCCGGCCGATGGAAATCAAAGCAGAGACGTTATCAACAAAATTTGGTGGTCTGGGCCGTTTCACCTGAGACATCCTCGACTCTCGTTTCTGAGTTGTCCGGGATTGGGCGTTTCGCGTGAGACATCCTCCAAACTATGAGTTCCCAAATGCCGCGCAAAAGGTGGTCCGGCCCGTTTCGCATGAGACATCCTCAACACTCTGAGCTCCGAGATGCCGTGCGCGAGGTGGTCTGGCCCGTTTCGCCTGAGACATCCTCCCAACTCTGAGCTCTGAGATTCCGCGTAAGAGGTGATCCAGCCCATTTCGCCTGAGACATCCTCGAAACTCTGGGCTCCGAGATGCCGCGCAAGAGGTGGTCCGGCCTGTTTCGCCTGAGACATCCTCAAAACTCTGAGCCCCGAATGCCGTGCGCGAGGTGGTCCGGCCCGTTTCGCTTGAGACATCCTTGCAACTCTGCGCTCTCTGATGCCGCGCGAGAGGTGATCTGGCCCGTTTCGATTTAGACATCCTCCAAACTCTGAGCCCCGAAATGCAGTCCAAGAAGTGGTCCGGCCCGTTTCACTTGAGACATCCTTGCACTTTTGCATTCCGAGATGCCGCGCGAGAGCTGGTCTGGCCCGTTTCGCTTGAGACGTCCTCGAAACTCTGAGCTCTGAGCTGCCGCGCAAGAGGTGGTCCAGCCCATTTCGCCTGAGATATCCTCGCAACTTTGACCTCGGAGATGCCGCGCGCGGCATGGTCCAGCCCGTTTCGCCTGAGACATCCTCGCAACTCTGAGCTCTGAGATGCCCTGCGCGAGGTGGTCCAGCCGGTCTCGCCTGAGACATCCTCACAACTCTGAGCTCTGAGATGCCGTGCGCAAGGTGGTCCGGCCCGTTTCGCACAAGACAATCTCGCAACTCTGAGCTCCCAGATGCCGCGCAAGAGGTGGTCCAGCCTAGGGGCCCAGGTCCCTGGGAGCTCCAGGAGGCCCCAGAGAGCTTCAGGAGGCCGCAGGACGCCCAGGACAGGCCCCAGGAGTCCCCAGGAGATTCCCAGGGGGCTCCCAGGAGGCCCCAGGAGGCCCCCTATCAGAACGTGTCAAGTTAATCCACATCCGGTGTCGATTCGTTTGATTTTTCCTGCTCTTGTGGCCCCCTCCCTCCCGTTTTTGGGGGCCCAGACGGCCACATGTTAGATATCCACCCCTGGGATCCCCAAGAGGCTGCAGGAAGCCCCAGGTGGGGTCCAGGAGGCCACAGGAAGCCCAGGAGATGGCCCTAGGTGGTCCCCAGGAGGCCCCCGCAACTCGGAGCTCTGAGACGCCGCGCTCGAGGTGGTTCGGCCCGTTTCGCCTGAGACTTCCTCGCAGCACGTTTCGCCCGAGACATCGTCGCAACTCTAGGGTCCGAGATGCCGCGCGCGAGGTGGTCCAGCCCGTTACGCTGGAGACATCCTCGCAACTCTGGGCTCCGAGATGTTGTTCGGGATGAAGAGGAGGTGGAGGAGGAGGAGGAGAAGATGGAAGGGAGAAGGAGGAGGATGATGTGGATGAGGGAGCAGGCAGCATGAGGGGGAGGAGGAGGAGGAGGAGGAGGGAGAAGGAAAGGAGTTGCAGGAAAGGACCAAACGGGAAGCGAGTGTGAAGTGGGCTTGTGTCACAGCAGTTTTCGTGTAAGCAAGTTTTCGTGTAAACATCTCATGTGCAAACATCCTGCTATCATGTTCTAACATGCCATGCCAGCCCGCATCGGGCACGCAATCGACCTTGGAAACCGCAGTGGGTTTAAACAACCTGGTTGGGGATACTGCACTCCGGCTATAATTTTTGCACATTCCTCCTGTACCCCTCGGTCGGAAGAAGTAGGTAGAAACATGAAATAGGAAGGCGTTGGAAATAGATTGGGTTTCCGCCCGCCTCCTGAAGAGGAGGGAAGAGGGAACACCACTCGACTCTTGAAGTAGGAAGGCGCTGAAAGTAGATTGGAATATATATGGGAATCCAAAAATACATACTTTCAACGACCGATGGGTCGAGGGACATGCCCGACTTGCGCCCATCCACCTCCGCGCCTCGTCCTCCGGCCCAGGGCTATGTGCGGCCGAAACGACGGTCCAGGCAGCCGGTCCAGCCCTCCCCCCCCCCGCCGGACCCGGTAGGGCGCTGCCCCAGGTGTCCCTGGCCCCTGGGTGGCCACAAACTCTCCAGGGGTGCCCAGGTAGCCTCCCAAGCAGGGGGCGGAACTATGGCGACGCCCATGCCCCGCCTGCGTGTGGGCTTTCAGGTTGGTCAGACCATTTTGGCGATCGGGGGTCGTCCATGCTTGATACGGGTGCGTCTGGGTAGCCCTCCCCTGGCTGTATCCCCGCGTTCCTCGCTGTTTCTCGGCGGGCAGATTCTTGGGAGGAGCTGGAAGTCGCCTGCGAGCATCCCTCGCGCGGCCCCGAGGGCACCAGGACGGCGCGAAACGCTGGGGGCACCATGAGCCAAAGATCGGCGGTGGACAAACCTCCATTTAGTAGACCTCCCCTTAGTGAAAACGGCCTGGGACCAAAACCGACGGACCTGGACCCGCAAAAATGACAGCCGCGACGCCCTCTCGCGAACCGAACACGGCCAATTCCCGAATCGACGTGTCAAGGCAGGAGGTCTGTCCACCCCCGAAAAGACACATCCGGCAGCCCCCGGCCCGGGGTGAAACGGCGGCGCCCCGCCCGCAGGGCGCCGGGCCTTCCGCCGCGCGCGCGAAGCGGCCGAGGAGGCCCGCGTGGAGCCCTCCTGTAGAAGGTGCGAAATTGTCCAGGTCCTGGCCGTGGCGACGTCGGCGTTCGGTCTCTTTGTGGGCCCCGGAAACGGCAGGGCCGTTTTTTCACCGTTTCCGAAAAAATGTCCCTTGAAAATGGAAACGGCAAAAAAACGGCGACTTTAAACGGCCAAAAAACGGCTCCAAGATTGGAACCGGAGCCGGAACCGGTAAAAAAACGGCCCTGTCGTTTCCAGGGCCCACTAAGTTCGGTCTTTTGCATAGCGTTGATCGCTCAGCATGGAGCGATCGGGGCTTTCCCACAGCGCAGATCGTCCGACGTCGGGTGATTCCTGGCCGCTGGCAGCGTGGGGTCGCGGCCGTGTCGACACGGCGAGAACCTGGCGTACGCCGCCCCCGCGGGGAAAGCACAGACGAAGAGGAGTCGAATTGTGGCGACTCAGGGGGCGGTGTGGTGCACATTCCCAGCACAAAGGAACCGTATGACTCACGTACCCTCAAATTATATACTCCACCCGACCACGCTGAACAATACGCATAGGAGGCATCAAGAACAGCCAAGGAGGGCCCCAAAACTGCCCAATTGGCCTCCAAGACGACCCCCAAGAGGGCCTCAAGAAACACAACCCGTCCTAATCCACAAGGACAGCGTATCTTTCTAGCATGTTCACAGGTTGTGTTTGATGACGAGGCGGCTCAAGAGGCCCCCCAAATCGATTCTAGAGGGCGCAGGAAGCCCCCAGAAGGAGCCCGATGCGGCCGAAGAGGGCCCCAAGACCGCCCAAGAGGCGCCCAAGGTGGCCCCAGAGGGCCCCAAAACGGCCCCACACGGGCCCCCAACGAGGCAACTCGCACCGATGTTCCGAGCCCTCCGCTCCAAGAGGACCCTCGAGACCGGCAGCAGGCGTCCGGGAAACGCCCCGCAGACCCTGGCCATCGCTCGGACGTCCATTTCCTGTGTTTTTTTCGGTTTCGTGCGTGGTTTTTTCGCCAAATGATCAGGGATGCTCCTCGATGGTCCTCGCCGAAGGAAAAATGCACACGTCCGAGCGATGCCGGGGACCCGAAGAGGTCCCCGAAGAGGTCCAGAGGAGGCCCCCGGAGGGTCCCCCAAACAGGCCCCACCCGTGGACGGCTTCCCCCTGCTTGGGGGTCGCAGACTGGCGCGAACCGCTCGAATACACTCCACCCGAGCACTCTGAGCAACTACAATCGGGGCGTTGACCTAAGGAACCCTAAATAAGGAACGAGGCCCCTTTTTTTCCATAACTTAAACTTTGATTTCCCATCGAGGTAGAGTAGGTAGAAACATGAAGTAGGAAGGCGGATATAGTGGATTGGGTCCAGGCCCCCCAAGAGAATCACAGAAACACAGCAGGAGCGTGTCGATTCTTGAAGTAGGGAGGCGCTTGAAAAAGATTGGGAGATAGGAATCCAAAAATACCTGCTTTCAACGACTGGCGTGTATTGTGGCGGCGTGGGGTCCTGACCCAAGGACCGATAAATGAGGAACGGAGCCCCTTTTTCCCCAAGTAGCCCTATAGGAAGTCCGAAAGTACACAAGGGGGGGTCGCCGCCCAAAAAGGCAGCGGAACGCATGCAAGCCAGAGGGACGACCGAGCCCCTTTTGAAAAAAAGTGTTCCTTATTCAAGCCCGACCGGGGGTCATAATTCGGGGGCGCGCAAACATGGATTAGCGATCCATGGATTGGGCGCGCGGTCACCACATCCATGGATCGGGAAAGGCGCCCTCCCCACAATGCGGCCGGTGCCGCCTCGCTCGGCGGCGGACATCCGCGACTTCCCCTGGAAGCGGGGCCCGTCGCTGACCCACGCCCCCCCGAGTCTCCATGTTTCTGCGATCGCCCGAGTAATGCGGACCCAGAGGGGCACGGCAAGAGGAGGAGGAGGAGGAGGAGGAGGAGGAGGAGGAGGAGGAGGAGGAGGACGGCACCCTCGCATCGCACGGTCGACGAAGACAGCACACGGCCGGAAGCGATGCTCTTCGTGCTCGGCACTCCAGGGGGGGGGGGGGGGGGCCACGTGCCGGGCCCGGGGCCTCGGTCGCCCACCCCGAGCCAACGCTGGACAAGATGCGACAGCAACACAGCAGGAGAAACGGGGGGCCGCGCGCCTCGACTCTGGGAAGCCTTTCGGTCGGGCACGTAGGGCGGATGTTGGACGAAACATGGAGATAGCCCCAAACTGCCCCCCGAAATGCTCACACATGCTCGAAACAGAGTCCCCATCCTATTTTGTGACTATTCTTGGATGCTCCTCCTGTAGAGGGACACGCCAGACTCGAGGATGTCTGGAAGTCGGGCCTCCTGGCAGTGCGCACTGGCCAAGATCTCAAAGCGGCCCCGGCCATGGCGACAGGCCTCCCCTCGGAGCTCCCCCAAAAAGCACGACGACGGTCACATTGGCGACGTGCCTCGGGGAGGGGCGCGAGGGTGGCTGCCTCCGGAGCAGGCGGGGGCTCCTCCGAGAGGGCGGGGGCCCTCTCCGAAGCGCCTGCCTTCTCTCTGCGGCAGAGGGCAACAATCAGAGGGCACTGCCCCGTTCCCCCGAGCTCAAAATTGGCACGCGCGGGGGGAAGGCTGCGGTCGAAGTGCAGCTCGTTCAACCCACCAGCAACATTGACCATTGGTGGGGGCATGGACAAATGAATGCGGCATGTGCTCGCCAATTTCTTCCGAGGCCTGTATGCCCCCCACGGGCAAGCAAAAAAGCACCAGCAGCGCTACACACGACCCGTATCACAAGGACGCACGGCAAGGCTGCAGGGGCCCTGGAAGGCCATCCCGAAGCTTCTCGAGCGGGGCGCGGCCAACGAGAGTGGCCAAAAATGGGCAGAGGAGGCAAGGATGCCAAGGGCACTCTTGGGCAGGTTGCCCTTCCTTCCTATGCGGGCTGGCTGTGCTCTCTGGGCCTGTCCAGGGGGGCGCGCTCTGGCCAGCACTTCGATCCGCACCCGGCCGTGGCGACGGAAGGCCTACCGGGGAGGCCCCCTCCGAAGGGGCGCAAGCGAGGGGAAGGCAGCAGTGATGGGCGCGCCAGGCCGTCCTGAGAAGACCACCTCCCTCTCTGCCCATCGCTCGGACGTCCATTCCCTGTGTATTGTTTCGGTTTTGTGCGTGGCTTTTTCGCCAAATGATCAAGGATGCTCCTCGATGGTCCTCGCCGACGGAAAAATACACACGTCCGAGCGATGCCTCCCTCTGGGAGGACCCGGCCGTCGTGCTTTCTGACGCTGTCCTGGCTGGCGCAGGAGGAGGAGGAGGAGGAGGAGGAGGAGGAGGAGGAGGAGGGAGGAGGGAGGAGGAGGAGGAGGAGGAGGAGGAGGAGAAGGCCGCGGCACTGTCCTGGCTGGCGTCGGAGGTGGCGTCCTCGGGCAGCCCGAAGAGAGGCCCGTCGGCGGCCTCGAGGACGGCGCCCTCGCAGCCGAAGGACGACGCCTCGCGGGCGGGTCGCGCACCCCCACCGCCTTGCGCCTCCTCGCAGGAGGGGGCCCTGGGGCACACAAATGAATACACACACAAAGGACAGGATTCCCCACGTTCTCCCATGTGTTCTGGGCGTTCGCCTTCCACCCCCCCCACACTTCCAGTGTGTTCTCCCATATCTCCGGGGGGGTATCGACGATGAAGTGTGTCTGTGTGCGCTTATTCCCTCTGATCTGGGGAGGGGCGAGTCGTGACTGCGACGCTGGTCTCTGAGGCCGCGTGGATCGTTCAAGACCTTCAACGATCGGCGGCTCCTCGATCGCCAGATTGCTCCACACATCGGCCCAGTGGAAGCTCCTTGACTTTTGTGAATGAAGGGGCCCTAGGACACGCAAATAAATGCACAGAAATAAAAGGATTCCCCATATTTTCCAATATTCTCTGGCTTTCTGTCTTCCCCCCCACTTCCCATATTTTCCCATATTTTCTGGGGAGCCAGCGATTAATTGTGTCTGTGTTTTTCCCCCTGCTGAGTGGAGGCGCTCGCCGCGCGGAGGGCGGCGGAAGTGCTGCGAGGGCGGCGGAAGCCGGCGGTACTGACAGTGCGCCTTCCAAGCCAGTTGCCCCAGCAGGAGCCCAGCAAGGCAGTCTTCCTTCCGGGGTCGGGCGAGACCCCGCCAAGCTTGGTCCTCTGACTCTAGTAAGTCTGGTTCGGCCAGAATCAAAATCCCATCCACCATTGAAGAAAAAAAGGTGAAGCAAACTCCCAAGCCCTTGAGGGATCCCGCCATGCGGGGGGTCGGCTGGACACAAGCTGGGGTTCTAAAACTCACGGACTCCTGCGTGGTGGGGCGCCTAGATGTCATCTTCAGGCGATGCGCGCGCCGTCCTGTCGCCGCGGACCCCTCGTCAGGGCCTCTTGAAGCCATGTTCGGTCATCTGGAGATCAACTTCACATGATATGCAGGTCGCGGGACCGCCCACTGCGTCGACTTGCGAACGATACTGCGTGCATCTTGGAGTTGTCGTCAGGTCGTTTTCAGATCGCACTCGCGTCATTTTTGGATTGTGCGGACGTCGCTCGGTCAGTTTACAATCACCCTTGGTGTGCCTGGGTCCATACTCTGGCCTTGAGGCCGTCTCGGAATCGCCCGCTGCTGATCGGACGGGTCATCGCATAAGCCGCCTGAGACTCTCAGTATTCCTCGTCGGGATCATGTTGGGCCACGGGGTCACCTCAGTTCTGCTTCTATGTCGTCGTCGGTGGCCTGGGGCCCTAGCGATACCACCTTGGGGCTATGAGATCACGCGGTCATTGCGTGCACTGTGCATACCGTCGGGGCGTTGACCTAAGGAACCCTAAATAAGGAACGAGGCCCCTTTTTCCTACAAATTCAACTTTGATTTCCGATGGAAAAACTGAGGAAAACCTGAGGCAAGCTGTGAACCAATCAGGGAACACGGAGCCCCTCCCCAACGAAAAGGGTTCCTTCTTCAGGGCCCCGACTGTACTCCCCCGTGCACCTTTCCAAGGAAACTTTTGTTGGAACCACGTGTTCGCCGGTTCTGGGCCCCCGGCGGCGTTCGCCCTTGAAGGCCTGCAGCGGGGTCGCCGCCGCGTCGGCGCGCCGCGAAGCTGCCGATTTTGTTGCCCCAGTCCCTCTGTGTTGCTGGGCCGCGGGGCCCTCTCCTCGGGTCCGCAGCGCCCCGCGTTTCGTTCCCTGCTCGCGCCTTCTACTCCACCTCCTCCTCCTCCTCCTCCTCGTTCTCCTCCTGGTCGTTCTCCTCACTCACTACTCAGTCGATCGATCATTCACTCACTCCTCACTCATCCTCCTCCTCCACCTCTTCCTCACTGCCTCCTCCGCCTCCTCCGCCTCCTCCTCCTCCTGCTCATTCTCCTTACTCCTCCTCCTCCTCCTCCTCCTCCTCCTCATCCTCCTTCTCCTCTTCTACTTCTTGACTCCGCGGGTTGCGCAGCATGCGCTAACCGTCGACCTCCTCCGCCTCTTCCTCCTCCTTCTCCCCCTTCTCACCCGTCCTCCTCACTCACTCACTCATTCACTCACTCACTCACTAGCTCACTGACTCACTCACCTCGCTCCCTTCCTCCTCTTCCTCGTCTTCCTCCTGCTCCTCCTCCTCCTCCTCCTCCTGCGCCTCCTCCTCCTCACTAACCCCTCACAACCTCTGCCCGCGCCTCCTCCGCCTCCGCCTCAGCTCCGAGGCGGGTCGCGCCTCCCCTCCACCTCCGCCCCTTCGAGAGGGGCGCAGAGCAGATCCAAGAAATCTGCCGACCTCCGAAAGTAGATGCCTGTGCAGCTGGTGTTATCCAGCGCAGTGCTTGCTTCTCTGTGGGTTAAGAAGGAGGGAGCGGAGAGGACACCTCCAAGCAACGATCACGGAGAGGGCACCTCCATCGCGATCAGCACGAGGCGAAACGCAAACGGCTCAGAGCGGTGTCCTGCCGACGCGTCGATGCTGGTGCAGGTCCGCATTCTTCCTCGAGCCACTGTGCGCGAGCGCGAGAGCACCACGCTGAAGACTCCGCCTTCCCCTCCCCCCTTTGTGGGCCCCGGAGACGGCAGGGCCGTTTTTTCACCGTTTCCGAAACAATGCCCCTTGAAAATGGAAACAACAAAAAAACGGCGACCCGAAACGGCAAAAAACTGCTCCAGGATTGGAACCGGAGCCAGAACCGGTCAAAAAACGGCGACGGAACCGGTGAAAAAACGGCGTCGGAACCGGCAATAAAAACGGCAAAACGGAACCAGTAAAAAAACGGCCCTGTCGTTTCCAGGGCCCACTGAGCCTCCCCCTGCTCCAAACAGGCACACGCTACGTAACATGGATTGGGGATCCGTGGGTCTGGCGCGGGGGCGCCCGATCCCACAGAGCGGGGAAGGCACCCCCCGAAGCATGGCGCCACTGCCGCCCCACTTGGCGAGACAGCGCGCCGCGTCCGCTTGAAAGCGGGGCCCGCCACCAATCCACACTGGCCATCGCTCGGACGTCCATTTCCTGTGTTTTTTGTTGGTTTCGTGCGTGGCTTTTTTGCCAAATGATCAGGGATGCTCCTCGATGGTCCCCACCGAGGAAAAATGCACACGTCCGAACGATGCCAAGCGATTGAACCCTCTGGACGCCCGGAATGGGTGCGGAACACATGGGCACGATGCCCACAAACAAATATGGTCCAAAAGCGGGACAGCCGCTGTTGGGCAAGCGGCCTTCTGTCTCGAATTCACATCGCCCGCGGCGGCGCGGACAACGAACCGGACTCAAAATGAACAGGAAATGCTGCTAATAGTCTGAACATATTATTTCCGTTGTCTGTACCTCCAAATCAAGCCGCAAGCTCCATTCCTGATGGTGCCCTCCTGTCAATCCCTTTCAGTTTCCGCCTTGCCACCGGATTAAGCCGCAGGCTCCAGTCCTGTTTGTGCCCTTCCATCAATTCCTTTACGTTTCACTCTTGCGACCATGTCTCAGGGACGTCCAAGAAGGGACGTCCAAGAGAGGGAGGCGCAAATCATGGTCGGCGGCATGTGCGCGGCCCCAAGGGGGGCCCAGTGACGTACTGAAATAAGAAGAGGCGCCATGAAATCTGGGAAGATATCATGGCCCCCGTCGTGATATCCAGCCCGCCTAGTAATCCGCCCCAGAATGTCGATCGCACCGAAACTTAAGGAACGAACAGACGGCATAAACATAAACTTGTGACGGTCCGCGCGAATTTCTTGGATCTGCGCTGGACCCCTCTCCCTGGCGCGCGGAACGCGCCAGGGGGGCCCAAGCGCCGATCCAAGAAATCCGCGCGGACCCCCGAAAGCTCATGTTTGTGCAATTTTTCTTCATCTTCTTCGAGTGCCGAAGCCCTGCCCCCGTCCCCCCACCCCCACCACATCGCCGATGCATCGCCGATGCGTCTCCGGTGCATCGGCGATGCATCGGCGATGCGGGCGGTGCATCGGCGACGCAGGCGTGGAGAAACTCTGGACCCACATCGAGCCGCATCGTCGACGCATCGCCGATGCGCCGATGCGGATCGAACCTCCGAGCCCCTCTGCCCCGACCCCGTCTGGGAGGCCTGGGCTGCCCCCGTCTCCCCCCCGCTGGCCATGCCGGGCGAGCCCATGACCACCTTCGTCATGTCCAGCGGGGGGACGGGCGGTCGCGGCGCCGCTGCCGGCGGCGAGGCCTGCAAGGAGGAGGAGGAGGAGGAGGAGGAGGAGGAGGAGAAAAGGGATGAGGAGAAGGAGGAGGAGGAGGAGGAGGAGGGACGACGAGGAGGAGGAGGAGGAAGAAGCGGAGGAGGATCAGGAGGAGGAGGAGGGAGGAGGAGAAAGAAGAGAGAGGAGGAGGAGGAGGAGGAGGAGGAGAGGAGGAGGGAGGAGGAGGACGAGGAGTAGGAGGAGGACGAGGAGGAGGAGAAGGAGAGGGAGGAGGAGGAGGAGGAGGAGGAGCACGAGGAGGGATGACGAGGAGGCGGAGGAGGATCAGGCGGAGGAGGATCAGGGGAGGAGGAGGAGGAGGAGGAGGAGGAGGAGGAGGAGGGAGGAGGAGGAGGAGGAGGAGGAGGAGGAGGAGAGGAGGAGAGAGGAGGAGGAGGAGGAGGAGAGAGGAGGAGGAGGAGGAGAGGAGGAGGAGGAGGAGAAGGAGGAGGAGAAGGAGGAGGAGGAGGAGGGAGGAGCAGGAGCAGGAGCAGGAGGAGGAAGAGGAGGAGGAGGAGGAGGAGGAGGAGGCGGAGGAGGCGGAGGCGGAGGCGGAGGCGGAGGAGGAGGAGGAGGAGGAACAGGCGATGGCACGGGATCGGTGGAGAGCACGTCCCTATACGTCAGCGTCGGGGATGAAATCAACTAACACAGTGCATGGCTGCGGTTGTCAGGGCAAAAACGAACGGCACTAAACCACTCGGAAGACATTCCGCTACACGGGAAAACACGTCCTCTCATTGAAGCGCGGAACGCTGGCGCGGCCTGGGGCTCAACCGGCATGGCAGGCGGCACGGAGTGGGGGACAGAGACTACATAGTCAAATCCTGGGTGTGCTACAACCCCCTAGTCAACATTGAATTGATGGTTGTGGCCGTCGGGACTCGGCGACACACCCAGAGATAGAACGCAGGAGAGACGGATGAGCACGAGATGCAAGGACTCAACTCTTCGGAAGCGCTCGTTGCAACATACTGTCTATGGAAGGACGAACCATAAGCATCATCTTTCGGAGGTCTGCGCGGATCTCCTGGATCGACGCTTGAAACCCCTCCCTGGCGGCGCTCAAGGCGCCGCCAGGGGGCTCCAGCGCAGATCCGAGAAATCCGTGCGGAGCTCAGAAACCTGATGTTTACGCCTTTTGTTTGATCGCTTCGGCGATAGCGATAGCTACCAAGCCTGAGTAAACTGAAAATCATCCAGACTAAACCAAATAAAAGCAAGTCGTTATTTTGTGGATAACCCTCATGGAGCGGAATTAAACTGGATTGGGCCAGATTGCGACCAAGGATGCATCATCGCTGATGCTAAACCCAACATCCCAAAATGTGCGACATCATAGATAAAAACAAAACAAACAAATTAGGAGGAAAAGCAAGCAGACACGGAAGGGCGAGAGGGATGAGACGAGCTGACGAAAGGGGACACTATTCCAAGGAGGCGGTGGGAGTGGCACAACCTTGCGGTTGTCCTCGCATGGACACGCGTGGAAGCAAGGCCGACAACGGCGACAATCATCGAGAACCCGATCGAACCGGCAACGCAACCGAAACCAGCCGGACCCGACAGGCAGGAAGCGGCCTCGATGGGCGCAAGTGCGACGCAGCAACGACACGGCAACCGGCCGAGCCGAACAGACCGAGCTGCAAACCAACTGCGCCGGCAATCGCACCGACCGAACCGCCGAAAGCCTCGCAGAAGCAGACGTGGAAGGTCACAGAAGAGGGAAGAAAAGTATGCACGTGCACACTGGTCCTGGCCATGCCCATCCTGAGCCCCAGGATCGGTGTGCATGTGCTCTCCTGGCTTGGCCAGGGAGGTATCTATGATAAGGATCCTGGACCCAAGGTGGGCCTGCATCGTATCGGCGTATGTCCATACGGCAGGTTTGTGTCGTGACGACCCTGGCGCTGGTTTCTGACATCGCGTGGATCGTTCAACCTTGCACGATCGGCGGCTTTTCGATCGCCCGATCGTTCCATGTAGGCCGATCTGATCCACTTGCGGCGTTCAACCTTGAACGCCCGCGGCGGGGTCGCCGCTGATCGACACGACGCGAACCGACCGTAGTTCTGTTCGTCAGGGGGGATCCGCCGACCCTGTCGGCGCGTGGAAGTCGCCGTCGCGCTTGGCCTCCCTGTCCCTGGGCCCGTCGCCGCTCCCCCCCCCCTTCGCTGGGCCCGGCTCCCCAAGCTCAAGCAAGCCAACCAAAGCGAAACCAACCCGAACTTGAACAACGTCGTGGTTAAGTCGAATGGGATCCCCTTCCGCTTGCTCCCTTCCCCCCGGGAGGGGTCC